AGGAACCCCCTTCATGTCGAAATTAATGAAGGACTTATGTACCCTGCTCTGCATCCAGGCCCTATGGACCTCAGTCTATCATCCACAAACAGATGGCCTGGTCGAGCGGTTTAACCGTACCCTTAAAAGTATGATCCAGAAGGTGGTAGCACAGGATGGAAAAGACTGGGATACCCTTCTACCGTACCTGATGTTTGCAATATGGGAAGTCCCCCGTGCATGCACTGGTTTCTCTCCCTTTGAGCTACTATATGGACGCCACCCACGCAGAATATTAGATATCGCCAAGGAGGGTTGGGAAGAACAATCCAACCCAGGAAAGAATGTCATTGAGCATGTGACACAGATGAGAGAGCAAATAGCTCAAGTAACCCCCATAGTACGAGAACAATTGGAAAAAGCACAAGAGGCCCAGCGGGCAAAAGTACAGAGATTTCAGCCTGGAGACTGGGTGATGGTACTAGTGCCAACAGCAGAAAGCAAACTCCTGGCCAGCTGGCATGGGCCATATGAGATAGTGGAAGCCATTGGGGAGATAGACGATAAGGTCAGACAACCAGACCGCCGGAGGCCAGAGTAGATCTACCACATCAACTTACTGAAGCCCTGGCATGACTGAGACGTTCCTGGTCATTCAGGGAGCTGCACCCCAGACAGACGACCCACAGGGGCAGGTGAGGATATCCCCCGAATTAACACCAGAACAATGAACAGCGGTCATTGATATGATCCAACGGAACCAAGACGTGCTCTGTACACAGCCGGGCTTTACAACACTGGTCCAACATCATATCGTCACCAATCCAGGAGTAAGGGTGACAATAAGACCATATTAAATACAAGAAGCTAAAAGGAAAGAAATTAGAACAGAACTGAAGAAGATGCTGGAACTCGGGGTTATTGAAGAATCCCACAGCTAGTGGTCCAGCCCTATCGTCCTAGTCCCCAAGCCTGATGGAACCCTGAGGTTTTGCTATGACTTTTGGAAGTTGAATGAAGTATCCAAATTTGATGCCTATCCGATACCACACATCGACAAGCTAGTTGATCAGTTAGGCAAGGTCCGATACCTAACCACCCTGGACCTGACAGTGGGACAGTTGATACCCCAGTTCAGGGGTGAGAAACGGTGCCCTGAACCCCGCACAAGAGGAGAAAGCACGGGACCCATCATAATAGTGCCGGCAATATATATATAAATTTTCACATAAAAAACGAAGCATTATTATTTTATCAACTACAATTAGTTCATAATATAGTAAAAGCATCCTGATTGGTTAATAACTTAGATTAGAATAACAGTGTTTTAATATCATGTGCTGCAAAGACCTGTAAGAAACACATTAAACAGCCACTTGTGGCTCACAAGCCTCAGTCTGAGTATCACTGATATAAACTAATTCACCATTGACTCGGGTAAGTGTCTGATATATACTTCTTTTACTGGACCAGTATAAAACAGAATAGAAAATAACATTTTTAAGAATACATTACATCCATTTTAATGATGGCTGTAGGTTCAGCATCACATGTGTTGGAAACAGAGAGAGATCTTGAACTGGGACGTTAAGATACAGAAATATATCTCTATGTGAACTTCACCTAAATGAGGTTGTGAGCGTAGATTTTCCCATTATTGAGAGCAGCCCAAATTGTGAAGTTCAGAGCTAGATGAAGATCCAGACCCAGACTTGCCCTAAATTTCAGGGTGTTCAGATCAGTGCTCCAGTGTGGGCCTGTCTCTAGTAGAAAACTAATAGTGGAGAACCCTTAGAGAGAGGCGAAAGCATGGAAAAGGATGGAAATGGAGCTGGATAATGACAGATGAGAAGCTACTTTTAAAAAAAATAAAACTATTTTTTTTTCAATTGTTATCAAATAACATACTTATAAACACCGATAAAACAAAGGCTGAATGGAGTCATATTGGTGTAGGTAATGATATAAATAAAATTAAATAAATTAATGGAGATATCCTATCTCCTAGAACTGGATGGGACCTTGAAAGGTCATCAAGTCTAGTCCCCTGCCTTCACTAGCAGGACCAAGTACTGATTTTTGCCCCAGATCCCTAAGTGGCCCCCTCAAGGATTGAGGTCACAACCTTGGGTTTAACAGGCCAATGCTCAAACCACTGAGCTATCCCTCCCCCCACTCTCAGAGTGTATTAACATTTATGAGACAAAGATTCAAGTTAGCCAACACTAAGGTTACCCTACTTCTATCCTGTGGGGTTTTTTTCTCTAGCATTTTGACTTTTTGTGGTCGTGAAGGTGACTAGTGACAATGCTATGGTTTAAGAATCTCTGGAACTAATTGAACAAGTAGACATCTCTGTACCATCAAACAAGGACATTTTCTCTTTCCCTCAGATGACAACTGTAGGTGACAGAAATTAATTCTTTTCTAACATAGGAAGTTTATTCTTATCATTTGTTATTTGTTTAGTGGCAGCAATGTGCTCAGCGCTTATATAAAATCCCCCAGAACAAGGAAAGTCAGTCCCGGGTCCCAGGAATGTACAATCTAAGGTCCTAATCTGAAATGAGCTCCATGAAGGGACCCTTACCATAGTGCTCTGCACAGGTCTACCCCACCCTGCTTTGGTTGAGTAGTATTGTACTCTGTCTCATTGAAATCTAGTCTGTATTTACTTTTGATATTTACATACACAGATCCTGGAAAGGGTTGCTAAGAGATTTCCAAATTTAAGTATTAGAAATTGTGAGCAGTGCTTGAGAAATAAAAAAAATACAAATGTAAGAAAATGTAAATGTTAATCATCCTAAAATGTTAATATACTTTCCTAAATGTAGAGTTACTCTCAGTAAAAACTCATCATATTAAAATGCTGCCTTTTTAAATCATATCACTGGCATATATTATCAAATACATGATTAATTATATTCCTCATCAGTATAACAGTCATCATTTCAATAGATAAGTGCAAAGGCTAGAGAAAGAGTGATGACAAGGTATTATGTAAAATCTATTGGTCTTCAGTGTAATCTCAGTGGATTTATAGAAGACTACTTCTATTAGAGTATCTAGGTTTACTAAAATAAAGGCAAAAAATGAGATATGCTCTGAATAATATTTTAGGACTCTTATTGAATTGTTAGGGCCTGAATCTCCTCTCAGCTTCATTAACCTAAATGAAGCTACTCTCGATTTACTTTTTTACTGGTGTTAGAGAGAGGAGAGTCAACCCATATCAGTGTCCAATTCCACTAATACTTCACAGTGTGAAAAAGAGTCAAAATCTCAAAATTTTTCATGAACCAACCAACCAACAAACAAACAAACAAAAAAGAAACGAAAAAAAATCAGTTTGGGTCAATTGAAACATTTCATTCAAATAATTTCGAGATATTTCATTTCAATGTCAACCTTTTAACAAACTTTTTTTAAAAATAAGTTACATTTTGAAACAAAAAGCCATTTAGAAGCACAAACCAAAACACTTTGTTTCAGAAGTTTTGAAATCCTGCATCTTCTTGGCAGGGGGTTACACTAGATGACCTTGGTGATTCCTTCTAAACCTATGATTCTATGAAACATATGAGACATTTCTACCAATTTAAACCTTTTTATTTCCCCCAAAAAATGTTTTGAATTGGGAAACTAATCAAATGCAACCCTTTAATATAAACATTTTGGTTTTGATGAATCAGCCTTTTCTGGCAAAAAAATATTTCATTGAAAAATTCCCGCCCAGTTCTACTAACGACACTCTTGCCTCTACTTGATGTGAAAAGCAAACTCAAAGGGTTAAAATTCACTGGGTTTCCAGACCCCCATAGGCAGGATATGCCCCTGAGTGTCAATGACATTGATGAAAATTGCTGATTTAATTTATTAGATGAATTAAAAGGAGAACTGAAGATTCATCTGTCATCATCCATTAGTTACTGTATATGTTGCCTTAGGCAAGAAACATGCTGTTACTAATTTTGGTTTACTTAGTTCTGCTAATTTTTGTTTTTGTTAACTTGTAACTGGGCCTGCATAGTGTGATGTGACTCAAGTTTTCTGAAATCAGACCTTCATTGGGATTCTATTGCACAAGAAGAATTGTAACGTTACTTGAAACATACCAGGCATTTTGGAATCCCAGTTCCAATTCAATTTCAATCAAATTCCAGAGCTGGTTCTAGAAAATCAGGGAACCCCTATAACCTTGGATGCGATATATCGATCCCTGAACGTGCTCCCTGTCCACTCCGGAACTCCACCGGAGCGAGCGACGGTAGTGGAGTCGACGGGGGAGCACGCGGCCATCGATCACGCGCCGTGAGGACCCAAGGTAAATCGATCTAAGATACTTCGACTTCAGCTACGCTGTTCACGTAGCTGAAGTTGCGTATCTTAGATCGATTTCCCCCCCCAGTGTAGACCAGCCCTGAGGGGAAGGGGTGTTGGTCAGTAGTTAATATAACCACAATTGGACTGTATGTGTTTGTGGGGACAAAGGAAGAGAAAAGGGGGATAAACTTCAATTTGTTTGAGGTGTCTACTGTCATCACAGATGTCTCATTGAGCAGGGCTGGCTCTAGGCACCAGCAAAACAAGCTGGTGCTTGGGGCGGCACATTTTTAGGGGCGGCATGGCCGGCGCCAGAATGCTGCCCCTAAAAATGTGCCCCAGCCGCCCTAGCTCACCTCCGCTGCTGCTGCCACGGCGCGCGAAACAGCTGATTCGCGCGCCGCTGCTCCCCCTCCGCCCCAGGCTTGAGCGTGGGAGGGAGGGGGAGAAGCAGCGCCCATGCCGTGGCCACTCGGAGTCTCCCCCTCCCTCCCACCCTCAAGCCTGGGGCGGGGGGGGAGCAGCGGCGAGGGCATGGGCTGTTTCGGGGGGCGTGGCAGGCGCGCCGGAGCGGGTCCTGGGGCGGGCGCA